TAATGAAATGAAAAAGAAGAAATCTGTAAACCAATGCTTGTCAGTTGAGGAACTGAAATGGAGTGAAAATTTCTTGTACCAAACAGCCCAGTTACAGGATTACAAGAAAGAAATGACTGCATTAAGTAGAGACGCTAATATTACTCTTTCTAAAATTAGCCCTTTGCGAAAACTTTCACCATTCATAGATGCACAGAATGTTTTAAGATTAAAAGGTAGATTAGATAAAGCCGTATGCATCGATGATTCAACCAAATTCCCAATTATACTATCAAGGAAAAACTACATAACTAAGTTGATCGTAGACTGGTATCATCGAAAATGAAAACATCTAAATCATGAAACGGTGGTTAACGAAATCTTTCAGAAATACCACATTCCGGGACTGCGTAGACTGTTAAAGCAGGTAAGAAATAATTGCCAACACTGCAAGGTTCGCGATGCGAGTCCAAAGCCGCCGGAGATGAGTGTGTTACTCCCGACCATTCTCACATGTTGGAATCGATTATTTTGGCCCGTATACTGTAACAGTAGGAAGACGCTCAGAGAAGCGCTATGGCGTCGTTTTTACATGCCTTACGTGTCGAGCAGTGCATTTGGAGATAGCTTATAGCCTGTCAGCCAGTTCGTGTTGTATAGTGATACGAAATTTCATAGCCCGAAGAGGAGTGCCGAATGTCATCTATAGTGACAATGGAACAAACTTAACAGCAGCTGAAAAGGAGTTACGAGAATCAATAAAGAACGTGGACTTCAATGAATTGCAAGCTGAATTTACAAGTCCGGAAACACAATGGGTTTTTCTTCCACCAGCTGCGCCGCACATGGGTGGAGCGTGGGAGCGGATGGTGCGATCCATAAAAACAGTGTTAGGAGTAATAATAAGCCCGCAAGCAAAAATTAATGATGAAAAGATGCATAACCTGTTCTGCGAGGTAGAATCAATCGTAAATAGCAGACCGCTCACTTATTTGTCGATTGAAACAGCAAGCGAAGAAGCGTTAACTCCGAATCATTTCTTGTTAGGGTCATCTTCCGGGAACAAGCCGCCGTGGAAGTTCGATACTAACGACGAGCACGTGAAATCCTCCTGGAGGCATTCGCAATACCTTGCCGATCGGTTCTGGAAAAAATGGATACAAGAGGTGCTTCCAACGATGACAAGACGGACGAAATGGTTTGGTAAGATAAAACCCATCGAAGCAGGTGATGTCGTCATTATTGTTGACCCAAATTCTCCTCGCTACACATGGCCGAAAGGAATTGTAATTAGTGCCATTAAAGCACGGGACGGGCAGACCAGGAGCGCCATAGTGCAGACTACTCGAGGGCAATATCATAGACCTGCAGCAAAATTAGCCGTATTAGATGTTCGTGGAGCGGCAGTTTAGAGTAAGTCGTATTCTTATTAAAGACATACTGAGGGGAGAATGTTAGAACTCCACTCAATACCTAAAAGTTAATATTTGTAAAATGTGTAAACTTGCTTTGGTCGTTGCAACCGTGCAGCTATGATTGGAAAATGCAACCCAGTGCACACATGAACTGTCAGTTCATGTGTCAGCTGATTGTCATTGGTGCTTCCTTTTGTTTTTGAGTTCCGGAATGGGCAAGACGGTTGCTGCGACCAAAAGTAAGTAAAAAAGAATTAATTTTAAGTACTAGAGGTAAATAAATTTATTTTAAGATTTTAAAGCATCAAATAAACGAACGCTTTTAAAATTGGTCAATAACAATAATTAATATATATTTTATAGCTCAGCTATTATTTATAACGTGTATATAATAATTTAACATTATACTCACTATTATACAACTATTTATAACACGAGTACTACTATTATATTAAAAGTCGACGGACGACATGTGTCACAGACGCTATTTTGATTATATTTATTTATTTCTTAATTTAAGATAAACTAATCATATTGTAAAATTGAAATTTTAAAATTTTTTTTTTTTTTTGAAATCCATTTATTTATTACAATCTGTCAGGAATGAATGACAATAAGTAATATATATATATATTTAAATCGTAATAATGGTTATTACGATATAAAAAGAAAGGCACGTATGGACTATGCCCAGTGACATATCCATATATATTTAAAATAAAAGTGTATTGTCTACATATACATATTTAAAATGTCTCGCGATGTTTTTCTTCTCAGCCTTGTAAAGGTATTGGAAGGGGACATCAGTTGAGTAACCAGAGGGTTTGGGTGCATATATAAGCGTTGAGCGTAATTCTTTAAAATACTTGCTATTTCTTCCTTGATTGTTCGAACATGTAATTGTTTATGTAGCTGTTCATTCGTTATATACCAAGGTGCGTTTGTGATCATTCGTAGTGTTTTAGATTGGAAGCGCTGTATAATTGCCAGGTTTGAGTCTGCTGCAGTACCCCATAATTGGGCCCCATAACTCCATATAGGTTTAAGTACAGATTTGTATATAAGCAGCTTATTGTCAAGTGACAGTTTGGAATTTCGGCTGAGGAACCAAAATAAGTTTCGTAATTTAAGACCCAAGGCTTTACGCTTTTTGAATATGTGCGATTTCCAGGTTAGCTTACTATCCAGATGTATGCCCAAGTATTTTGTTTCTACAGCTTGTGGTAATTGAGTATTGTTTATTAAGACCGGCGGGCACGTAGAACGTTTTGTAGTGAATGTTACCTGGACAGATTTTGATTCATTCGGTTTAATACGCCAGTTTATCATCCAGAGAGCAACATTATCAAGGCAGGTTTGAAGTTTGGTGGAAGCACGGATTGGGTCACTGTCAACTGATAAAATAGCTGTGTCGTCTGCAAATGTACCGATAACACTCTCATCGGTAAGGGGAAGATCCGCAGTAAATAAAAGATAAAGCATTGGTCCCATTATGCTACCTTGAGGTACTCCTGCTTCTATATCATAAAGTACTGTAGTTTCGTTTCCATGCTTAATGAAAAAGTGCCTAGCCAAGAGGTATGATTTTATAAATATGAAAAAATTTAGAGGTAGATACAGTTTTAGTTTGAACAGGAGGCCCTCATGCCATACTCGATCAAAAGCTTGTGAAATGTCTATAAATGCCGCAGTGCAATATTTTTTACCATCTATCGCACTATGGATATGTCTGACAAGTCTATGAATTTGTTCTATTGTGCTATGTTTTTGGCGAAAGCCGAATTGATGGTCAGGTATGAGTCTGTTTTGTTGGATAAACGGAGTAAGGCGCTTTAGAAACAGGATTTCCATAACTTTTGACAGGATCGGAAGTAGACTTATTGGCCGATATGATTTGACGTCTTCTGGGCTTTTCCCTGGTTTCGGTATCATGGAGATTTGCGCTATCTTCCACTGTGGCGGAATAAATCCCCTTATTATCACAGCGTTAAATAGATGAGTGAGAAATACAAATCCTTTTGGTGGGAGCTGCTGCAAGGCCATGCCTGTGATTAAATCGTATCCTGGAGCTTTTTTTACTTTTAACTTTGTTATTACATCTCTAACTTCATTAATAGTATATCTTTTAATTGGAAGTTCCAATTGATAAGGCTCTTGTAGAAAATTAATCCGTTGATTCATGACATCAGGCATATTTTGGTTATCATTTGATTTAAAGACCTGGTCCAAATGTAACGCAAATGTTTCTGCTTTTTCAATATCGCTTTTTGCCCATGAGTTGTCGATTTTGCGTATAGGTGGTTGATAGACAATCGGTCTGTTGTTCTTTTTTATGGCTTTCCAAAGGGAATATTTTGTATCACATGAAGCACTTAGGTTTTGAAGGTATAGCGACGTGCGATTATTGTTATACTTTAAAAGAAGGGCTTTAACGAGTTTACACAGTTTGTTTAAGCGAGTTTTATCCGCAGGGAATCTCGACTGTTGCCAATGTTTTTTCATCCTACGCTTTTCTTTAATCAGGTATCTAATGTTAAATGGATAATCTTGCTTAACACTTTTAGAAATTGGTGGAGTTGATTCCCATGCAGACATTTGGACACAAGAGTTGAAATGCTCTACTGCTTCAGTTACGTCAGATTCAGTTTTTAACCTGACTTCGGTATTTAGACCAATTGAAATTAGTTGACGGTAACTATTCCAGTCAGTGTTTTTGTTATGAAGAAATTTTAAAATGAAAATAAATATATATACATACATACATACTAAATAATAAAAAATATCCATAGTAATTCCAAGCCGCACAGTTACGGCATCATACAGGTCAATGAATCTTCTTGATCTTCATCTAATATCAAAGATCTTGCCCATCACAATATCATCTCTGACCACCAATTCGTATTAAGAAAGAAATATGTGACAATAGACCTACCGAAATCTAATCAGTATTCGCAAACAAAAAATACTGTTCAGCTGTATTCTTGGTATGATACAAGAATTTGACAAATGTTGCCACGAAGGCCTATCTTGTCAGAAAATCTACAAAATCTTTTTCAGTGGTACATATCTAATCATAGTTTTAAAATTATGTACCAGCGTTTTGTAACAGGAAAATAAGGTCTTATTGGTGAAGTGCCACGAGTAAGCGTTTTTGGACTTTTGTTTTGCATAACACATACAGTAACTTTTCTCAATTTGCAAATAATCTTATCACTATCTTTTTCAGATAACACTTCTATAATTATTTCCCCTTAATCCAGATATGATATTTGAAAACCTTTCAAAACATCTTAAACTTAAAGCAATAAAATAAACACCATGAAAAGTGCTTAACAGTATTGTGACTTGTTCTACTTGTCTTTGGGTAACGTTCAGCTGCATAAGATTATGAATATCTAATTTGAGGTCATATTTTTCAGAAATTTAAGCACCATTGGCATGATGAAATCCGGATCTATACTTAGTAAATAAATGAATAAAAGTCCTGTAAAATTTATATGTGTTGAATTACAAAATTTAAGTAAAGAAAAGGCAAAATAATTTAATATTTTTTTAACAGAACAATATACCTTTTTTATTTTTCTGATAATAATTATTTATAATTACCAAAGTTTGATTAGTAACGTTGGAATCGCTATATGGATATGGTGTAAACACAG